TCAAGGTAGCCGTTAACACTGTTAAATTATATACATAAATCATCAAAGAAAGGTAAATACAGTGTTCAAATAAAGGACATCGTGTAGCATAGCTCGCAACGAATGTAGTCCTGTAAATAAATGAATAAAGAAATTGTGTAATAAAATACCTGCGAACCTGCGACCTCTCGCTGTCAAGGCGAGCGTCATAACCATTAGACCAAGGAGGCTTCATGGTTAAACAGATTCAAATACCACCCGATACACTCCATTACACAATAAGTACGGCTAGAAACAAATAATAGCATACACTGAAATAGGGCCTATATACTTTTTAAGTCATGTATCATGCATAGGAACGTTGATGCCTGCAAGGCTCTGGTTCATGCTTGTTAAAAACTATAACCATGATGTTTTGAGGGGTTTTTTTTACAAAACAGACTCTTTGTCATTCTTTGCCATCATTGTTCTACAGTTTGTAGTTTGCTCTTTTAACTCTATAAAATCTTTCATTTTCTAAGTTTTGTCATTATATATCATTACTCCTGCTTTTTAATGTTACCGTTAATCCTTTATGTTATTATTATTATTGTAGTATTACATTGTTTTAGTATTCTGTTTTTATTCAGATGTTCATTGTTGGAAATTTATTATTAATTCCTATTCTCAAGGTTATGTCTCTCTATGAGACCCTATAAGGTGCAGAATGAGTTAATAAGTAATTTTCGTCTAATGATGTTAACTTTAACTTTAACGTTAGTACCCAACATGCAACACGTTAATTCCGCCCAGAGCCGTAGATAGAGAGAGTTTGGCCAACTTGGTGCATGGGCGCCATGTTGTCACCAAACAGCGTGCGCGCGTATAGCTTTATAACATTTTATAAAACACTGATGCTGCATAAACTTTCTTTCATTATTCTGTTCATGAGGACAATTCAATTATGGAATTTTAACATATTGTAAATATCATATATAATCATATTTACCTAACTTTGGAATTAATTAATCAGTGACGTGCTCTATTATTTCGAGAAGATAAAGTGAGGACGATTCTTTATTTTTCTTCGTTACGATATCTTTTTATTTTAAAAGTCTATCATCTAGGCCTACCTAGTTGTTGCTAGCAGCCTAATCTATATGAGACTCCTAAGAGTCAACACTGCAGAGGAGAAAGGTTGGTTGTGCAGACAGAGTAGGTTTGTGAATCGTCGGCGATAATATGTTAATTTCGCCTGAAAATGGATGATAAAAATATTAATAACATGAAAGTTTTCTAATTGTATCTAGGCCTCTAGGCCTATGACTTCGTAAACTTTAATTTATGAACTTAAAATAGTCTGGTCATCTGCAAACCAATACAAATAACCTAGGCCTATTTGTAAATTGTAATCTAAACAATAAATCAAAGTTGAAGAATTATTGCATTGAGAAAAATTTTTGTACAACATATGCCTAATCATTCATAATCAAGAAGCTATGCCTTGTAAAGTAAAATAGCAGCATTCTCCACACTTCTGTTTATAATATTAGTGAGTTATAATATTATCATTATTACTGTATTATTATTATTTATTATTATTATTATTATTTATTTATTATTCATTATTTACTATTCATTGAAATTTTGATTTGTAATTTGTAAAACATTTAAACGTTTTGATTTAAAATATGTATTAAAACAATCAATATAATAGTAATACATTAGGGCCTAGGGCCTATCTTTAAAATATATTTTTATCTTTAAAATCTTTAGTTTCACAATTAATTATTTGTAAAGCACTATTAGGCATGTTTGCATAGCACAGGACTCCTTGGACAAGTTTTAGCTTTTATTGGAGGTTTCCAATTTTTATTTTTAATTATAATTTAAGCTACCTTTGACTGATGTATCTTTCTGGAAATTTAGTTATATAATTTAAAAAGCAAAGTGCAACATTGCATCTGTTTATAAATCATTGCTGCTTGAAAATTCTTCCTTTTTTTTATTATCATAATTAAGCTGATTTAAGTACTACCTTAAGGTGTTCGGCCGAAGAAGTACCGAAATTTAGGCCTGTCTAGGCCTAGATAGTAGTAGTAGGTGGATATATTATTACCGCGAAGTGGGGTGGGCGGTACATGCCTTATTTATAATTTATTACGTGGATAGCGAGATTTTTCGATCGCCATGCAAAGTTAAAATAAAATCCCAAATCCTCCTCCTTTTTGGAATTTAAGGAAATTAATACATTTTTGTTTCTTTGTTGGATCGATTGCAGCAACCCCAAACCCAACATAACGGTATTTCACATTATATAGCATTAATCATCTATAATATCTATGTGAATATATGTGAAAGTCGTAAGTACAAGTCTGCAAACCTAGGTTACTGCTAGGTTTGTCTAAAACCAATTCACACAGATCAACAGTTCTCGCTCTGACCCAGCATTTGTTAGCCAAGCAAAAGGTGAAACTGTTGCTATGGCTACCTAGTATATAGCTGGTCAAAATGGTTACGCACCACTGCATAACCAAGGTGAGTTGCCTTTCACATAGACACATTAATGGGTCTGACTTGGGTCAGACACAGCATATTAATTGGTCTGACCCCCTTCTTTTTACTGAATTACCTTTCACCTGGCCTATCTGTCAGGAATCATTTCGCACAGACACGTTTCAGGGCCTCTGGCCTAACTTAATTGTTTACGACATTTTAAGGCTGAGCGAGCGCCATAGTATATTGGCTTAAGATAAGAAATTTTGTTTCATTGCTTTATGACATTGTAGAAATCACATTTTTCGTGAAATTTTCGGGTATTTAAAAAAATCGGGAGATTATGAATAAATATCGGGATGGCGGGAGACGGCCTAAAAAATCGGGAGAAATCCACGATTTTCGGGAGACTTGGGATCTCTGTTATTATTGTTGTCATTGTTGTTGTTATTATTTTTTATCATTTTATATATTAATAATTTTATATTATAATAATAATTTTAATATTTAAAATGGACATTTCTTGATTTGCTCTGTAGTTGTGAATCCTTGCAACAACAATGCTTGTCAGAATGGAGGTGCTTGTGTCCAGGTTGCCATAATATGACATTGATTTCATGTATTTGCTGCGAAGCAGCCAATTCATATTCTTGACAGCAATTTGACCTCTGAAATGTCATTGTTTGTCAAAAAACGAGCGCCTAAGACGACTGAAAAGCGGAGTTTCCTTCTTTCGTTCTGCCGGGTAAAATTAATTACTTTAGGCGACGTTTGTAGACTAACCTACTCGTACCAACGTCCGCATGTCGCGCTAGCCTTATCCTACTCTAGGCCTAGACTAGCTAGGATGGTTATAGGCTTAGCCTTGAAGACGAAGGTCCCAATGAAAAACAATGTCGCTCTTTGATAGCTAACATTGTCTATTTAACATCACAATAATTCATTATTAGATCTATAGTTGTTTTTTGAATTGTACTCCACAAATCTCAGCCGATACCTCGCACAACTGGCTAACGTCTAGTATCTATTGTCGTGATGTCATGGCTCGCTGGCTCACACTTGTGATATGTCTCGCACTTGTGATCAAATAACACGCTGGCTCGCACTTTGGCAACACTCTTTGGCAGTCAACTCGCCCCTAGAAAACCCGCCCTTGGAAACTTGCCCCATAAAAAATGTACACTTCCTAGACCATGCAGTCTTCAAAATAAAAATTGTAACCTTTGGTAATCAACATACATAGAGATTTTTGAAACTTTATTTAAAAAAATCTAAACCATAATTCACCACACTATAGACACTTTTTGACAAAAATGAAAAATTACGACTTTGTTACCCAATGAGAAGTGTTCTAATATAGACAATGGGTCTTGTCTCATATGATTTGTTATAGATTTATTATTCATTATTTTCACTTGATTGCATAAATAATTTTGTTCAAAGAACATTTATATGCAGTTGTATTTCGCAGCACTCCACTTGCAATTTGCAATTTCTAGTAATATTATTATTCTTTGTTATATTTATTCATTTACTAATATACTTATCTATAGAATGATTCATTAGTCAATCAGTTGCTTAATAATTACACTTTTTTGATTAATTAATATATTGATTGATTACTGTATTTATTTATTTTTTCTTTTTTTTTTTCAAAAGGGCACCAAATTTTAAAGCTTTATTTGCTTGTTTGTGGCTGTCCTATTTCCATTTCATTTAATTTGATGCATATGAATTGTTCTGTTTTTAAATGTTACTTGATTTGGAATAAATTACTTTTAAATTGAATCGAATTGAATCATTTTCAAAAAGAGGAAAACCTTGAATTTTGAAGAACTTAAAAGCGCAGAAGTCGGGAAAGCTCATTTCCCGCCATTTAGGAATCAAAATTTTCCAGGGGAGAACTCCCAGACCCCCTTCAGTGTACTTTTGTGGTATGGCCTGTGAGTTAAATTATATCATGGTTAATGTAATGTTTAAATAAATCTTTTGGGGGATTGCTTTCTCATTATTGCAGCTGCTAAATTCCAATTATTAAAGTACAATAATTCCTACCCACGCAATCCACATCTTAGCGGACCCCATTGGAAATAGTTCCAATTGGAGCTTTTATGGGTTATCTGGCATCTCTTGAATTTCGTCCCTTTTTTTGTGTATGTATTTTCATGTATTTTTATGTAGTTTATTAATGACTTGTGTTTTTGTTGTAATTTTAAGAGATGCAAATGAATCAATTCAAATTCAATTCAATAGGTGTGAGAGCTTGCGATAATCATCGTTGTCATGGTAATGCTAATTGTCTTGCTCTTGAAGTACCTGGTACCTGTTCTAACTACCTCTGTATGTGTCCTCCATGTTACTACGGTCAATACTGTGAAACAGGTAAACTCATCACAACAAGCTATATCAAGTATGATAAAAACATTTCTCAAACATTAATAATTTATCCTAGTGTATATTTTCATTGACTTTATGAATGTCGTTTTTACCCTACCTGACATGTTTTCATACCAAATGCTCAGTGCGTTCCTAAATAATTGCTAAAAATCGCATGTGATTTTGTTGGGAATTGAACCTACTGACCTGCAGATATAGCCTGGCGCCATAACCATTAGACTGCCGAGCTTGCGCTTAGTGATTTCGTGTAGAGTCCGATTCCCAAGTAGCAGCGTGTACTATAATGCTAAGTTTGATGCGTCAGGAATCACACTTGAATGCACTGAGCATTCAGTACGATAACACAACACATGTTTTTATTATTCGAACTGATTTAGCACTTAATTCTGATCATTTTGTTTTCTTCTGTTGTTGTTTAACAAAACCTGAGAATATATAGGTCCATTACAGTTATTGTTTTCTATTCCATATTTTGTTGGATTTGTTCATGCTTCTGCTAGAACTGGTTGATATCTGTATGCACAGCAAATGTGTAAATGGAGGAACCTGTGTTGCTGATGCTGATAACTGTATTCTTTATACTTGTGATTGTCCTCCTTGTTTCACTGGTAGTCTCTGTCAAGTTGGTGAGCTATCTTGATTTTCATGGATAATACTCTTTATTTATATGTATCACAGAACAGTCATAATATGACTGCTCCTTGATATAATATGTACAGAAACATTGTTGTAAATAAATATTAAATATATAATGTTTATATAATATATTCCTGGTTGTAAAAATGTTGTTATATCTAAATAAATTTACATATTATATATAAT